CCCCCCCCCATTCCCCCCCAGTGCTCCCAGTTCCCATTGCTCCCCAGTGCTCCCAGTTCTCCCAGTTCCCATTGCCCCCCAGTGCTCCCAGTTCCCCCATTGACTCCATGGCTCCATGTTGACTCTTCTCCTTTATTCCCCCCACCCCAGTTCCCACCAAGGGCTGGTGGGACCCATTGAGGGGACCCATGGAGGTCTCAGGCCACCAGTGCTCCCAGTTCCCCCAGTAAGAAGAGAGCTGCTGGGACCCCATTGGGGTAGCCCATGGAGGCCTCAGGACCTCCCGATGGTCCTCCTGATCCAGGGCACGGCCCTGCAGATGTTGGAGGAGACGCCGGGGTGTCCTCGGCGCCCACAGACGGCCATGCCCCAGGAGACAACCCCTTGGAGGACCCCATCGCACACCAACGGGCCTCCAGAGTCACCCTGTGGGGAGAAGAACGTCTGAAGAACTGCTGGTGGGGCTCAGGAAGACCTTATGGAGATGGTGGTGGAGGAACCCGTATGGTCACGTTGTGGTGAAGACCCAGTTGTGGGGTCAAGGAGAAGGTTGGTGGTGGGAATCCAAACCTCACATGGACCCGTCGTGTTCCGTGACCTCTGTGCCTCAAGCAGAAGGTCGTTGGTGGAACCCAACCCTTGTCTGGACCCATCGTGTTCCATGACCCATCCCCAGCTCCGTAACTCAAGTAGAAGGTCGTTGGTGGAACCCAAACCTCACATGGACCCATCGTGTTCCATAACCCATCTCCAGCTCCATACCTCAAGCAGAAGCTCATAGGTGGGCATCCAAACCTCATACGAACCCACCACATTCCCTTGGTCCGTGGCTTGAAGGAACCCAACGAGAACCCATCTCCCCTTGGTTTTGGAGCTCAAAACCACACCAAGACCAGAAGGTGCTTGATGGGACCATCACCCACCACCTCTTACCTGGCAGGAGTCAATCCCCCCTTCGGGGACACCAGCGCAGAACATGTTGGGGGTGATGGCGTTCCCATAGGCCCTGGTGCACTCGTTCCTCCCAAAGGCTTGGATGGCCGCACACTGCAGGTTCTGAGGGAGCTTCGCTGGAGAACAAGGTGGAGATGGACAAGGAGAAGCTTGAGAAGGTCCAAACCCACCCCCAACGAAGCCTGAGAAGACCTTGTCCCACTTTTGAGGGGGTCCTTTGGTTCCCACCCAAAGGTTGGTGGATGATGGAGATGGGTTGGGATGATGGAGATGGTTTGGGATGATGGAGATGGGTTGGGATGATGAAGGTGGGTTGGGATGATGGAGATGGGTTGGGATGGAGATGGGTTGGGATGATGAAGGTGGGTTGAGATGATGGCGATGGGTTGGGATGATGGAGGTGGGTTGGGATGAAGATGGGTTGGGATGAAGATGGGTTGGGATGATGGACATGAGTTGGTGACCGCCAAAGGAACCCACCCACTAAAGAAGAACCCAACTAGATGATGTTCTCCATGTGGACCTGCTGTCCTCCTCTTGGCCTCCTTGGAGATGCTTCTTCCACCCCATCCCAACCTCTTCCATTGAGGTCTCCATGCCCAGGCAGTTACCTCCAGGAGACTTGGTGGTCCCCCAGCCGGAGACGCTGCACCTCATCCCATCCGTGGGGCACCTGGTGGCCAACCTGATCTTCTTGATGTTGCTGCTGAAGTGGACGGGCCTGTTGAGCTTCAGGAGCATGAAGTCGTTGTCATTCTTGCGGGGGTTGTAGGACGGGTGGACCTGAAGCCTTGAGATGGACCTTAGTTCTCCTGTCCCCTCCCTCAAGGTGTCCGTCCCTATCAGCACCCTGAGGTCCCTGCATGGAGAAGATCAAGGACTCAATGTTAGTGCCTCCAAAGGAGATGCCTCAAGCTCTTGGAGCTTCTCCATGGTCAGGGTGAAGGTGGGACCATCTCATCCCGTTTCCCTTGAGAAGAAGACAAGGAATGACTTGAGGATCCATGAGGGCTCCTTGAGGACACCTTCATCCCATTGACTTCATCTTCCTCCAGAGGTCCCATCTACAACATCTCAACACCATTGTCCCTCAATCCAACATCTTCTTAGGTGAAACCATCCCAAAGGTCCACTTTCCTCTCATGGGACTTTGTGGAGAAGCTGGAGATACGCGGCTATGGGGGGCCACCTACTCTTTAGCAAAAGGTCATTGGTGGAACCCAAACCTTGTATGGACCCATCATGTTCCATGGCCCATCTCCAGCTCCATAACTCAAGCAGAAGGTCATTGGTGGAACCCAAACCTCAAGGGACCACATAACTCAAAGTGGGGTCATGGATGGAGGTTGTCACCCTGCAAAGGACATAGAAGCTTCTCTGGTCTCCATGTGGATGGTTGGACCTTCATTGCCCTCTAGAGGTACCACCACCACCGCATTGTGGAGATCCCCATGCTTGGAACACCAACATCTGGATCATGTGAGACACCAGACCCCATCAAACATCTGGATGGACCAACCTCTGGAGGAACCTGCCTTTGGTTCTACCAACCCTTGAAAGTACCAAACCCAACTTGTGGCCACCAACATCCACAGCTGGAGGCAACCACCTCTGTGGACAGCAACATCTGGGCCATGGACACCACCCTTTGGAGGCATCATCTTCTAGAAGGACCAACATCTGGGCACCAACCAAACCCACCTCTCCCCATTGGCTGGTTAGGAACCACGGGGCACCTGGTCTTACCTGACTGGCTGCTTGCAGTGGGCAGCTGTGAGGACCCATTGGGCACCTACCAAGCTTCCTCCACATAGGATCTGACCTCTCTTGATGAGGGCCACTTGGAAGGGTCTCTGGTTGATGGAACAAGGTTTCCCACCGATGATACGGGACTCATCCTCCTCCGGCACTGGAAGACACCAAAGGGGCACCATGAGATGTCACCACCAGCGGGGTCCTCCAAAGCAACCTGGTGGGGTGAGGTTGACAAGAAGAAGGCTTCAGGAAGAGAAGAGGGGAAGGTCTCTGTGTTTGGAGGCGTCACGTGCCAGAAGAAGACCCCAAAAGCATCTGAAAGCCATCAAAGATGGGTGGGTTTAGGGTTTGATGGGTGAAGGTGATGGGTGAAGGTGATGGTCAAGATGATGGGTCAAGGTGATGGGTTAAGGTGATGGGTCAAGGTGATGGACAAGTTGATGGGTCGAGACGATGGGTCAAGGTAAGGGGTGGAGATGATGGGTCAAGGTGAAGAGTCACCCATCAGCCTCCTGGGGTCCCAGCAGGGTGGGTTCCTTGATGGAAACCAGATGGTTTTGGGGTAAAAAGAGAAGATTTTGGGGCAAAAAGAGGTGATTGTGGGGCAAAACTGATGATTTTTGGGGAAAAGGGGGATTATTTGGGGGCAAAAGAGGTGATTTTGAGGCAAAAATGATGATTTTTTGGGGAAAAAAGAGCTGATTTGGGGTAAAACCGAGATGACTGGGGGGGGAAGGGATTATTTGGGGGGAAAAGAGATTATTTGGGCTAAAAAAAAGAGGGCCTGGGGTAAAAAGAGGTGATTTGGGGGAAAAAGAAATGATTTTGGGGGAAAAAGAGATTATTTTGGCTAAAACCGAGATGATTTGGGGGGAAAAAGAGCAGATTTCGGCCCCACTCACAATTCCAACCACTTGAAGCTGCCCCCAAAGGTCCATCTTCTCCTGGTGGCATGAGGTGGAGCCCCAGCCCCCATAACCAGACAGAGGAGGGAGGTGGGACCTCCCTCCAGGAGTCCATTGGGCCTGGTTTATCCCCTCCATGAGGTGTCCTGGGGATGACCAAGCATCAGGAAGTCACCAAGAGACACTTATCTCCTCTGGTTTCACCATGTGCTTCTGGGAGGGGCATCAGGTTCCACCTCTGAGGTTCCTCCCAGGTCAAGGCTGGAGATGACGCACCTCCAAAGAGCTGATTTCTCCGTCCCAGCCTGGTGGAAAGCCTGTAGGACCAGCTCCAAACGCTTCCAACCTCCTGGATGGCTCATTCCATCCCCATCTCCTCTCTTGGGCCAAGGTAGGAGCTGGTTGCATCAACCCAAGCAGGAGAAGCCCTGACGCAGCGGGAAGCGATAAGAGGAATGTGGGGAATGTGGCTCAGGTCCATCAGGTTGGTTGAGAAGCAGCAGCCAAGGGCCACCAGCTTCGTTTGGGAGGTCTTTGGGTCTTCCATCTCATGAAGATCTGACGTGGACCTCCCCATCTTTCAGGTCTCTGGAGGCATCTCCCTTGGCTTGAAGAGTTGCCCAGCATTGATGGTCCTTGGAGAAAACCCTGCTGAGAAGCTAATCCCACCCCATCCAACATCTACAAGATGAGGTGCTCTTCTACCTTGTCAGGGTATTGATGATGAATGAGGCTTATGGGGTGGCCATCTTGAAGCTATGACCACCTTGAGAGCATGACCACCCTGAGGCCATGACCATATTGAGGCCACGACCACCTTGAGGCCATCACCACACTGAGGCCATCATCACAGTGAGCCCATGACCACCTCAAGGCTGTGACCACCTTGAGACCATGAATGACCACCTTGAGCCCATCACCACCTCGATGTCATCACCACCTCGAGCCCATCACCACCTCAAGGCTGTGACCACCTTGAAGCCATGACCACAAAGACCTCCACTTGGGTGACCACACAATGGAAGTCCAAAGCCTCATGACATGCTCCTGGTGTCCATCTACAGTTTTACCCAGCCAAAGCCTTTTGGGAACCTCAGGTGCCACCTCTGCCAAGGCCAATGGAGAAGACCCTTGGTGTTGAGTTATGTCCACGTGGGAGAAGAGAAGACTGAGTAGGAGAAAGGACCATCAGCACCCAAAAATGGTGGTTTTCCAATAGAAGAACCCCCTTCCCCCCCGCCCAGCCATGCAGCAGAACCTCCAGATGGGACATATCAAGCCCTTGTTCTCCAACACCAAGTCCCCCATTCCACAATGTGGGACATTCCAGATGCTTTGAGCCTATTTCGAGGACTTCCTTGGAGAAGGTGGCATCTGGAATGGTCCAACCTTCCCTCCGCACGTTGGGACATTGGAATCTACCAGCGGGACTGGTTTGTACTGGGTGGCAATGGGAGACGCCCCAGCTTCCAGCCGCTTGGAATTCGCCACTATCCGGTTCCAGCAGCGCTGCCAAAGTCCATCCCTGCTCATCCCAAGGACCATCCTGGTGGGTTTAGATACCACCAAGCTCCTTGAAGGCATCTCCGCAGCTTCCTGAGGCTTCACAGCAGAGAGGAACCATCTCAAAGGTCCATCAATGGAGGTGGAGGCAACGGGAGATGGATGGTGGGATCCATCCCCTTGGATTCCCAGAGCTCCAAGCAAGATGATGGTGTCTCCATCCCAAACAGTCAACCAAGGCTCATCCAGCCAATGGCTGGTCACCACCTCCAGAAGACCCAGAAGCATCTTTGAGGACACTGATTTGGGTGAAGAAACGCCAAGATTGGGTCAGATCCAAGCTCTTTGCCTCCAGGATTCCACCCTGTTGAGACCCATCCACTGGGCTTCTCCTTTGGTAGAACATCGTTGTGGAGACCAGAAGAAAGGAATTCCCATTGGGATGGAGCCTCATCCAGGTGACTCTCTGTGGACCTTCTTCTTGGAGCTGGAGCAGAATTCTCTATAGGCAGTTATCCCAATGGGATGCAGGACTTCTCCTTGGTGCCTCCTTCTCCACATGGAATGAGGTGGCTTTAGCTCCAAAGCAGCTTCCCAACCCCATCGGGCCTTGCCCAAACCTTCCCACCATCAAGATTCCCATGGGATTATCCCCATCCATGGTTGTCCCCCTCCTCCCTCCTTGGCCACCCACTGGACTTACGCTCATTGCCTTGGTTGCCCTTCACTTGAGCTTGCGCCAGTTGGGGGGTCCTCAGCAGAAGACCAGTGGTGAGGATGAAGATGGGGATGAAGCTGAAGGCCCCATGTCCACCACGAGCCATTCCTGGGGCACAGAAACCACATCGGATCAACCCTGAGGCCCTCTGTGCCAAGGAGAAGGTCCTCAGTGATGTTCTTCTACCCCCAGCATGGGATGGAGGCAACGTGACCGAGGTGCTGGTGGTGGTTTGGAGCACCTCCACCCTTATGGACCTTGGGGTGGTCTTGGACCTGCATCTCCACCTTGCTCTGGTTGAGTTCAGCACCAAAGCCACCACCCCAAGCTCCAGAAGAAGCATGTCCCCATCCAAATGGGACATCCAAAGTCAACTGGGACATCCAACATCCACTGGGACATCCGAGGTCAACTGGGACATCCAGTATCAACTGGTCAACCACAAAGTGCTCCACCAAACCCATTCAACCCCAACCCACCACATGGAGCCACCAAGAGATGGAGAAACCCATCCCTGGAGCATCCATCCCTCGGAGGAACATCCATGATGCTGCTCATGGAGATGAGACTCACCTGATGGAGGAGAAGGTTGGAGCTGGTTCTCCGCGTGTTGGGAAGTTGGGAGCTGGTGCCTTGGGCACCTTTATAGTGGAGCTGGAAAGTGGGTTGTGGCCTTGGTGGGGTGAGTCAAAGGGTGGTTGGACAACGTGGGTGTCACCTCCCTGGTCCTGGAGGTTGATTATGGCTTTGATGTTTCCAAAGGGAACACCGGGAGAAGAGGGAACCACCCAGCTCCAGATGTGGAGCTCGGGGAGGTCCCAAAGCACCTCTGTCCTTCTGGGAGCCATGGAGATGGTGTCTACCTCAGTGGCTGTCCATGTGTCATCTGACTGTAAGTCCATCCATCCATCCCTCCATCCATCCATCATCCATCATCCATCCATCCATCATCCATCATCCATCCATCCATCATCCATCATCCATCCATCCATCATCCATCATCCATCCATCCATCATCCATCATCCATCCATCCATCATCCATCATCCATCCATCCATCATCCATCATCCATCCATCCATCATCCATCATCCATCCATCCATCATCCATCATCCATCCATCTGTATCTCCATCTGCTCATCCCTCAGCTCATCCATCTATCCTCCCATCTGGGTGTCCATCTGGCCATCTACTGATCCATTCCTCCATGCATCCCTTCATCTCAGTGTCCACCTTTGTGTCCATCCCTGCATCCCTGTCCATCCATCCCTCCATCCTTCTCCTCCATCCCTATGTCCATCCATGTCTCCATCCCTATGTCCATCTCTCCATCCATCCCTATGTCCATCCCTCCATCCATCCCTCTGTCCATCCCTATGTCCATCCCTCCATCCATCCCTAATGTCCATCCCTCCGTCCATCCCTCCATCCATCCCTATGTCCATCCCTAATGTCCATCCCTCCATCCATCCCTCTGTCCATCCCTATGTCCATCCCTCCATCCATCCCTATGTCCATCCCTCCATCCATCCCTATGTCCATCTCTCCAACCCATGGAGATGTCACCTCCAATGAGAAGGTCTGGAGGGTCTCCAAGATGGGATGTGACCACCCCATGGCCAAAGAGGTGCTGTAAGGACCACCTGGGGCCATCTCCAACCCAGCTGAGGACATCTACTGAGCTCAGCGTGGTCGCCAGCCCCTCGTGCCCAGAAGGCTCAAGGTGTCTCCAGTGATGGTTCTCCTCCCTTGGCTGATCCATGTTCAAGCTCCAGCATGTCCTACAGTGAGAAGGTGGCATTAAAGTAGTGATGGGTCCTCTAAAGCCACCCCAATCCTGCTCATCCTCAGTGGTGGTGGCACCAGAGCATCAATGCGGTGGTTTGAAGACACCTTTAGGCTTCTTCAATGGTCCCACCAAGTGGGGTTGGGAGATGAAGCTGGGAGCAGCTCAAGGCTCAATTAAAAGCCTGAGGAGCAACTAAGGGTGGAGAAGACCATGGCTGGGATGAATCACGGTTGGAAGATGCTGATCTCGCTCTCTGCTGGTGGCAGGAGGAAACTGGAGCTTAGGTTTGGTCCCACCAGATCCATGGAGCTCCTCAGCAAAGAGGTTGTGGCCTCCAGTAGGCCCACGGAGTTGGCACCTACTGGGGCGTTGTCCAATGGAGATCCCATCCCATGGAGGTCTGGGCCATGCAGAAGGTTCATAGCGAGCTTCTCCCATGGACATCTGCCCCACCAGGAGCTCATCCACTGGGATGGTGTCCACCAGGATCTCAAGCCGTGGGGTCTGCTCCATGAAGAAACCATTTGTGGAGGTCTCATCCATGAAGAACCTACGCATGGAGGTCTGGTCCATGGAGATCCCATCCATGGAGGTCCCATGAAGGGACATGAAGGCACTTGGAGGGGTCATAAGGGGACATAGGAGGCCAGGAGGGGACACTGTGGGCCAGGAGGGGGACACGGGGGGGCACTGGGGTGATATGGAAGACGCAGGGGGCCATGGAGGGAACATGGAGGGGGGGAGATGTGGCACATGGTAGGACATGAAGGGCCATGGGGGGACATAGGGGAACCTGAGAGGACATGGAGGGGCCATGGGCCACATGGGGGGTGCGGAACACCCAGCAGGAGCCAGGAAGCCCAAGCAGGAACCTGGTGGGGCCCCACTGGAGACGTGGACCCGCCTCTGCCAAGCTCCCAGCGCCCGAGGCGAGGGGCTGGGCCCAAACCAGTTCTCCCAGTTCCTCAGGTCCCATCTGAGGTGGTGTCACTGGTGCCGATGACTTCACCCCCCCCGCGGGGCCCAGGGAGAGCCAAGCCTGGACCTGCCACCCACTGCCAAGGCCACCCAGGACCTCCCGGTCCACCCTCATCCCACCACATCCAGCTCATAGGGGCAGGGCTCTGCCTCCTCCTCGTCCTCCAACCGCTCCCTGGGTGACACACAAGGGGTGGCCGTGGCCCGTCTGACACGGGGGTGGCCCCAAGGTTGGCTCCATGGGTGGCAATGCCCTGGGTGACACAAAGGGGTGGCCCTGGGTGACACATTGGGGTTGGTGGCGCCGTGGGTGGCGGTGCCCTGAGTGACACAGGGGACATGGGAGTGGTGGTGGCTCAACCTGGGGGGGGTTTGGTTTTGGGGGCCATCCCATTGGCGGGCGTGCACACCCCCCCCACCGTTGTGTCCATAGGGACATGGAGACCTCCTTGGGCATCCATGGGTGCTGGTTGGTGTCTCGTCTTCGTGGGCAGCAGGAGCAGGATCTGTGGTGGTCACTTTGGCTGGACCACGGGATGGGTCAACCTCAGCTCCGTGGATGTGGTGACCAAGTGCAACTCATGGACCTGGTTGTGGCTTCTACACCTCCATGGACCAGACCTCCATCCTGACCAGACCTTCATGGACACATCGACCAGAGCTCCATGGACACATTGACCAGACCTTCATGGACACATTGACTCCATGGACACATCGACCAGACCTCCAAGCCCATTGTGGGATCCCACCACAGCTGATGACCACCACCATGTGGACCCTCCAAGCCAAACCTCCTTCGTGG